CTCCCCCGGGGCCGGTTTTGCGGGGATGTCTCAGGCGAGGGCGCCGGTTTGGGATTCGTCCCCGGATCCAGCGGATCCGTCCGGATCCGTCCGGAAACGGTGCCAGAGGCCGCTCTGGGCTCCTCTGGGCACCTCCCCCGGGGCCGTTTTGCGGGGATGTCTCAGGCGAGGGCGCCGGTTTGGGATTCGTCCCCGGATCCAGCGGATCCGGCGTCCGGAAACGGTGCCGGAGGCCGCTCTGGGCTCCTCTGGGCACCTCCCCCCCCGGATGTCCGAGGGCCCGGATTCGTCCGATCCAGCGGATCCAGCGGATCTGTCCGGAAACGGTGCCGGAGGCCGCTCTGGGCTTCTCTGGGCACCTCCCCCGGGGCCGGTTTTGCGGGGATGTCTCAGGCGAGGGCGCCGGTTTGGGATTCGTCCCCGGATCCAGCGGATCCGTCCGGAAACGGTGCCAGAGGCCGCTCTGGGCTCCTCTGGGCACCTCCCCCGGGGCCGGTTTTGCGGGATGTCTCAGGCGAGGGCGCCGGTTTGGGATTCGTCCCCGGATCCAGCGGATCCGTCCGGATCCGTCCGGAAACGGTGCCGGAGGCCGCTCTGGACTCGTGCTCTTCGCGCCGGGGGTGAGGATGACGTGAGTTCCACAGAAACTCCCTCAAATTATATGTTTCAGGGCGAGGAAACGCAACGAGGTTCAGCGCGGATGATTTTGAAGTAGCCAGCTTCCCAACTGGTGGGAAGCGGTCTCCACCATGCAAGAGCTGGCAAGAAAGAAGGAGGAGTAGGGCGACGAACGAGGAAAGGACGAGGGAAGAAGGGAATTTGAAACTGCGTGCGTCCGCCAGCAGACGCTGTTGGATCGGACAAGACGAGGGGGGTAATAGTGAAAAGACGATTGGCGATTCAGCTCACGTAGTTGGCTGGACCCAGCGCTTGCAAGCGCCGCAGGCGCCACTGGATCTGGGGAAGCGCCCGAAGGCGGGGCCGGAACCGGCCGCACGCAGCAGACTTCGGTACCCTCGCCTTTCCCAATACCAACACTGTCGTTCGTCTCTCCCGAGGCTGGCGCTGCGGTGCACTGGGCGCGCGCGCAGGCTCCTGCCGCGCCGGGCCCGCATAGCAGGCTCTCGGAGACGCGGGACGTGGGAGCGAGGTCCACGTGACCACCCGTACCAGATGACCAGGCGAGAGTGCGGACGCCAGGACAAGATGAGGTCCTGTGCACCGCCGAGAAGGTGCACAAGCGAGAGACCTTTCGCCAGATCGCGCAGGGGGTGGGGAATGCCAGGGCTCTCCCTCTACTACCCTCGTCAAAACTAACCTCAAAAGTTGCTGGCACGTCATTTCGATTTCGGCGCGCCCCTCAATGTCGACACGCCGCCCCTTCAATGTCGGGGCGAGGGCAAAGATAGTCTGACCGAAGTTGACTCGGAAGTTTGACGTCGACCGATATTGGAGGGGCGGCGCATGCAAGCACCCCGCACTCATCGATACTCGGCCCCAGATCTTCCGACAAGCAGTTCAACCACGTCAGACATGTTTGAGGTTAATTTTGACGAGGGTTGTCGGAAAAGGAGGCGGCCATTGCCGCTGCCCTCAGCGCGCTGCGCTGGCCACAGTGGCGCAGACGGTGCGCCACCGGCGGAGGTCCAGCGCGGCCGCGCATGCTCGCGCGCAGCGGGCCGAGGCGCCGCAGGCGGCATGCCATTTTGGCTCACGCCAGGGCTCCCTCTGGGAAAAGGAGGCGGCCATTGCCACTACCCTCCGCGCGCTGCGCTGGCCACAGCGGCGCAGACGGTGCGCTGCCAGCGGAGGTCCCAGCGCGGCCGTGCATGCTCGCGTGCGGCGGGCCGAGGCGCTGCAGGCGGCATGCCAGCAGACTCGCTCGAGAGCGAGCTGGGGACGAGTGCTGCCCCCATGGGGGCAGGACACGCTCCTCCTCCTCCTCCTCCTCCTCCTCCTCCTCCTCCTCCTCATCATCATCATCATCATCATCATCATCATCATCATCATCATCATCATCATCATCATCATCATCATCATCATCATCATCATCATCATCATCATCATCATCATCATCCATCTCTCATCATCATCATCCTCATCCTCCTCCTCCTCTTTCCTCCTCCTCCTCCTCCTCCTCCTCCTCCTCTTTCCTCCTCCTCCTCCTCCTCCTCCTCATCCTCCTCCTCCTCCGCCTTCTCCTCCTCCTCCT